CTCCCCTCTGAGACAGATGGGAATCCGCATTCTGAATTACCTCGACGACTGGCTTGTCTTAGCCCAGTCAGAGGCCGAGCTGATAGCCCACAGATCCTCCCTCCTCAACCACTTAGAATGCTTGGGGCTCAGGGTCAATTACGCCAAAAGTCCTGTCGTCGCTTCAGTCGATATGAATCAGTGATCCTATGCCGAGCACCTGCTTATATAGCCAGATGCCCCGCCCATTTTGGCGGGCTCGGGCGCGCTGCTTCGCCATAGGCTCGCGCAGCTCCGCTGCGCCGTCATTGGTTAATTTCTGAAACAATGGCAGTGCAGATGCAATATTGCAATATTTATGCTGTGATTGAAAAAAAGGCTTCAGCAAATCGGAGAAAAGGAGTTTCCCGTAGCGTCTAGCGACGCAGTACTCGTTCCCGTATCTCAGGGAACCAAGGTTACGTTAGTAACCGAGTACGTTTTCAAACGCCACTCCTTTGAGAACCAGATCTAGATTTCAATTCTATTTTAACTGTTGATTGGCCAATCAAGTTTATATCCCGCCTAACATTTCTTAGAACAGATTTAAAAAAAAAAAAAGAGTATTTGAGGCATTTTTCAGGTATACCTAAAAAAAAGGCAACAGCTGATCTGCTAAATGTGGGAGGACGCATTCTGTCTCTATTCCTGTCCAATAATCTGATGTTTCCCTTTTCCCTTTACACCTTACTGTCATTTCAATTACGCAACAACTTATACAAATGATGTTATCTTAACGCCTCAGGGAACTTAAAACCAGTGCCGTGTCCAACCAGCTGACAGGTTGCACAACAACCCTTCTAATCCAATTGAGACTTTACTGACACTGAGGTAAATACACATTAGCTTGGTGTGACACCAACAAAGTGAATTACGCTTCATTTGGAGCCAGAAAAGGCCACATTTTGTGTGAAAAAGAAGGATCTTACAAGCATTTCTGTTTTATACCACTTTTCAAGGTCCACCCGAAGATTATTTTCTTCCCAACTGTTTATTTTCCAACTTTTAGACTTTTTATAACCTAATGCGTGTAGCTGAACACTCTTTTCAAATCGGTAAGAAAAACCAGCTCCAAAACAATGATTACCACAGTACTGGCAGTGTTGCAGTATGAATGCAAAATATATGTACATATCGCATTCAGAAGTTCGAGGATGTGGCCTTGACCCTGACCCAAAATCGATTAACAACAACATAGATGTTGAGATGCACATTATTGAGATAAAATATAAGGGCAAGTTGCAATGTTTAAAGTTTGCTGAGAGAGAAGTTGGACACTCAGTGTGTCGTCCAAGAGCTTTGTTCACATGCCACATTCATTTAATGTAAAGTTTCTATTTTTTTCACTCTCATTCACTGAGGCACTGTTGGGAGTGAAGAATGGGCCCCTTTCAATGGACCGCCCTTCTAAAATCTGATCAAAATTCACTACAGGGCTATCCCACCTCACATGTTACTAGTTTCTTTTTGAAGGATTGATATAAAAAAAACTTGAATTTCTGATATATTTTTAAGACACATGTGGGTTTGAGAACTGATAGCCTCTCATGTATTAAAAGTACAACCCTTGCATTGATTCAATTCATATTAAACAGACAGGCAAGCTTCATTAAAAACATGCAGACCTTGAATTGTATAGCATACCCTTTCACATCTGAGATCATGAATGATGAAACAGGAAACTGAGGATGTCTAATTTGATTCAAGCATATAAGATTTCTCAAAGTCTAAAAAAACAGATGTCAAACTATTCCATTAGAGCCAAGTCCAGTAATTATAAGGTTGGTCACATGACAAAAGACATATGATAAACTCTGACCTAAAGTAAAGATGAGGTCATTTTATCTAGCTGTCCAGACTTGATTTGGATTCTATTCTTCCACTGCAAATTAGTGAAGAGGAATAGAAAATATTCTCAGCCCTACATAAATATTACTGCTCTACAATTAATGTCATTACTCTCTAGTTGGCAAGTTGTTGTCCCGATAATATAGACAAAGAAATTCGTCCACACCAGGTCCATTGATCTGCAATTCATTAACACAGAGATAACCTACAAAACCCAAGATTTGTCACAGTACAGTAAAGAAATTAAAATCTAAATCTTTAAATAGACTACATGTCCAATGCACTTTCTTCAAGTATAAGTACTTTTTGGGCCAAACTTGAAAACGACCAAAAAGGCACATGTGTTCATAGTTTACGGTCAAAGGTGTGGATAAGTTAAAATAACTGACAAAACAGTCCTGTCTTGCTCAAAACCCTGAAGTGACAGAAAAGTGTTGCCAATGTGCTCTCCCAAATTAGTGATCCAAAAGAGTGACCACTGAACAAAAGTGGCCAAATTGAGTGAAAAACTGTTAAATAACCAAAAAGAGCAGCCAGTGTCCTCTCTCCCTAATAAGCGACAAAAAGAGTGCCCTGAGCTGGCTGCCTTTTAAAAACTGGTTGAAAAGAGTAAGCAGTGCGCTCTCTCCCAAATAAGCGACCAAAAGAGTGACTGTTCTCCCTCAAAAACACTGACTCTCTCAGAAAACTAGCCAAATACGGCCTTCAAGTGACCTTCAACACTTTCGAAAACAACAGAAAGAAACTCTCCTCAAATAATCTGTACTGATTAAACTCACTCGATTATATGCGGCAGGCACGAGTGTTCTGGATGTTGCGCGCTCAGCGCGTGGGAGACCGCTATATTTCGCAGCTCGCGCCAGGACTCGAATATCTGTCGACAGGGGGCGCGAGCCAGTGACACTGAGCCAGACCAGTAAATGTGAATCTGAAGACTTGAAGTGCTACGCAGTCAACGTGAGACCCTTCAGGATCCGCGCGGTGCCCCCGCTCCCTCTTAACAAATAACTGCCAACAGTTTTCAGCGCGTTATACCTGAAAACCCTGCAACGCGTTCAGCGGTATTCCCGAAAAGATGTTCGGGTGATTTTTGAGGACATATCTTCGATATTGTCCTTCCTTCAAGAGCTGTTGGATAAGGGTTGCACCCCCTCCACTCTTAAGGTCTATGTGGTGGCTATAGCAGCTTTTCATGCTCCTATAGATGGGATATCGGTCGGCAGGAACAACCTCGTTGTTCGATTTTTGGAAGGGTCTAGGAGGTTGAACCCCCCTCGCCCTTCTACGGTCCCTACATGGGATCTGTCTAGGGCTCTGAGGGCGCTCAAAGGCCCCCCCTTTGAACCGCTACAATCCGCTGATATTCGACCCCTATCGCTGTTTTTTTTTTTTGCATCGTTTTAAAGGCGGAGAATATCGAGAGCCCCACAACACGCAAGTCTGTTGATCCGGATGAACGAACTGTTGAAAAATTCAAACTCGCAACAGATTTTGCTCGCGGACAACTTCTCTGGAGCTGAGTGAGTTTCGCTGTTTTCTTATCAAGTGTTCTTGCATGATATGCATTTAAACAGCTTTATTTGAAGTGTTTTAGTTGGGCTACGCTTTGGTTTAAAGGGGTGTGCAGAGCTCGTGTAGCACAGGGCAGTAAACTGTGGGAAATCGAGCACTTTTTGCGTGCTGTGTGTGCAGATTAAAGGGCTTTTGATAAGTAATCGTTTTGTTGTTGTTGTTTCTCATTTGATGTTGTTCTGTCGTCTAAACTTTGCTCTGTTCTCAGCGCAAGAGGGAATAAGGTAGAAATGTAGTTTACGCACGTATATGTTTATAAGGAGCCTCAGATGGCTTATCGGCTGCGAAAAGTGTTGGAAAATATTTATTACCCTCGTTAAATCAAGACCAGAGTAGCAAATTAAACAGAGCGGGAATTAATGGACACATTTGCTGGATATTCCTGTTATGAATTTGCGTGGCAGCTGGATTTATGCACGTGGCGTCTGTCATACAGGTGTTTTCCGCAGATTTGAGGGCCCTTCAGGTGTGTCAAGTCCACTTGAGGTATGAGACTATAAAGAAGCTGGTATTTCGTTACTGTTTCAACAAATGTGTCTTCTAGTTTTGTATATTATTATTTTGTGCTTTGTTTCTCTGATGTAAAATAAGATTTAGTAGAGAGTATGAAGCACTTTGATAACACTTTTGAATATTACTTTCAAAAATAACTTTAGCAAACATTTAATTCTAAACTGTTAGAATTAAATGCATTTAAATATGTAGATTTACTTTTATAGTATTCATATTATATTCATGTTCATCTTTAAATGTCTCTAAATTTAAAAAAAAATCAATCCACTAAAATTGAAATCTTAATTTTAAATGTTGCCATAATCAATGTGATGCCCAAGTAAAATGCTGCAGTGATAACTTTTTCAATCACTTTGAATTTTAATATTGATGAAGAAAGCAAAGCTTGACAGTCTAAAAACCCGTAGAGTAATTATAGACATTATTCTGACAGCCTCTTACACTTTTTCAGACAGAAATGGCATTGAAATGAGGCTGCAAATCCAAGACTCCCTGCATTTAATATTTCCAAGCAGCCATGACATTACCTGTGCAATTCTACGAAATCCTGAACAAAGAGATGTAAAAGCGCTGCAATCAAATTTCCCATTTCACAGATGCTTAAACAGAAAGGTCATGAGTTCCCGATTGAAGCGCATCTGTGAATGAAGCACATAGGCAGCTTGTTATGAAGAGAGAGGTCTTAAGATGATAGAGCAAGAAGAGTGCTGCAGATTTGCATATTCCTAAAACACTGACTCGAATGTATTGAACGATTTTTCTGAAGTTAATCTACTGCTTTACAGTGATTTTTTAAAATGTATTTATTTATTTATTATTATTATATTGCAATTTTTTGCCAGTTTACTTTTGCCAGTATCCCCAGTTTGCGTAGACTGTTTCCGACATGTTTCTTCGTTGTGGAAAAGGTTACAGGTTGTACAGGTTTCCTATTCAAGGCATGGCATACACATCATCTTATGTTAAACTCTAGATGTTTGATCGGCTGACTTTCTGCTCACAAAATGCTTCCCTAATGCTGAGGAGCTGTTCAAAAGAGAAATGCTTCTCCTAGAGGTTTAGTAGATTCTCACATGCTAATTGCAAAATGTGTTCTGCTGTTATTGAACCTGAAATTCATTATTCATTTATACTCATTATTCATTATAAAAGGTTGCCATTCAACATGAAATTGAATTACTTGTTTCATCTTAATGTTAGTCTGTATTTAAATGTTTTCTGTGTTGATGATAATTGTTTTTGTGTACAAGGCTTGCAGAAACATTTTGTGTTGACTGAATGCACAATGTACACAGAGAGGAGATCAAGGTGCTGGTAATCAGAGAAGAGTTCAAATTTAGGTTAGATATTAGTATTTGCACACTTTTAGGACACACTTAAAATGTCTGCATTTCATAATTTGGCTGTAAAATATCAAACCAAGTGGCATCTGTAAAGAAATAGTGCATTTTCTCAGAAATAACTTTACTTTTTTGAGTCCATTTGCATTTACTTTTAACTTACCCATTCCAAAGTCGTATTTAGTGAAAGTTTGTTCTCCTCAAGTTGACACAGGTGTTCTAACAATAACCACAGCTGTACTTCATATCATTACCAATAAACATACTGACATTTGTACAGCCATAAGTATTGTTTTATTAATTAACAGACATCTCTGTGGGAATTTGTTTCTGATAAAAAGGGTGTTTTTGCTACATTTCCTTAAATACAAATGGCATTTTGTTTGATATTTTGTTATACATTACCATTCAAAGGTTTGTGGTCAGTAAGATATTTTAATGTTTTTGAAAGAATTCTCTTTTGCTCATGAAGGCTACATTTATTTGATTAAAAATACAGTAAAAACAGTAAGATTTGGAAATAGTATTACAATTTAAAAGAGCTGACTTCCATTTGAATATATTTTAAAATTTATTTCTGTGATTGCAAAGCTGAATTTTCAGCAGCCATTACTCCAGTCTTCAGTGTCACATGACCCTTCAGAAATCATTCAGATATGCTGATTTGCTGCTCATGAAACATTTAAAATGATGATCAGTGTTGAAAACAGCTGTGCTGCTTGAATTTTTTGTGGAAACTATGATACATTTTTAGGATCCTTTGATGAATTGAAAGTTAAAATAATTTATTTGAAAAATACATCTTTTAGAATGTTAAAAATGTTTTTTTTCAGCCATTTTCAATTTAATTCATTCTTGTTGAATAGAAGTTAATTTTTTTCAAAAAAAACAAACAACTTACTGACCCCAAACTTTTGAACAGCAGCGTATAACGCAAAGCCATTTTCAATTGAATGCTTCCTTTCAAAAAAAAAAAAAAAATGTTACTGACCCTAAACTTTTGAACAGCAGTGTATAACACAAAAATATTTTATACGTTTTTAGATGTGACTTAAGTGTCAAACTCTGTATATCAGAGTATGAAGGTTTAAGCTTTACAGTGCACAAGCTTTTGACTCTATGAAAAATGTCTAGGCATTCGAAGACCTTTGCAACACAAATAGGTTTGCAAGCAGTCTCTGCACAAACATGATTGACCTCAGTTTACCACAGGTGTTGGAAGCATGATATCTCTCTCTCCTTTTTTGGAGTCAGTATCATAAAACTCAGTTTTCTCTCCACACACACACACACACACACACACACACACACACACAAACTCGGTTTGGCAGAATGTAGATCCGTCCCCCTCCAGCAGCCTGCTCTGCTGACCCAGGCTTTTCCACTGCCCTTGTGAAATAGGAGCGGCAGACGATCGGGTCTCACCAGCCAGAACTGAATGCCAACACAAAGCAAAAAGACTCTCATATGCTGCTTCTGGCAGAAGCCCACTTTAATCTCTATTTGAACAGTCCAGTGAAGAGTTAAAATCCACTTTCGACCAGCAAAACTGCAGCACATGCAGTTGTTCCCTGTGCACATGTATATACATGTATAGTTGTTTACACAAGGTTTTGTGCTTGTTTCACCATAACACACTGTTTGCTTGCTTGTGCAACTGGGGTGACTGAATGTCACCTTTGAACTTTGCATATAGTCTTCTGACTAAATCAATCAGAACAGGAAAGGTTGAATCCTCTCTGATATCCTCTTTTCTGCAGTAGCCAAATGCTGTGAGGAGTAAGTACTGCACTAATGACATTTGAAGATTATGCTAGAATTAGATTACAACAGTAAATTCAGAGATGTCCACAATGCTGCAATAATACATATGGACTGAACACTACTGAGATCCACTGTAAGGGCAATTGTTAAAGGTTCAGTTCACTTCCAGAATAAAAATTTCCTTATAATTTACTCACCCCCATGTCATCCATGCTGTTCATGTCTTTCTTTCTTCAGTCGCAAAGAAATTAAGGTTTTTGAGGAAAAACATTCCAGGATTTTTCTCCATATAATGGACTTCAATAGTGGCCAATGGGTTGAAGGTCCAAATTACAGTTTCAGTGCAGCTTCAAAGGGCTCTACATGACCCCAGCCTAGAAATAAGGGTCTTATCTAGCGAAATGATCTGTCATTTTCTTTAAAAAATAGAAAATGATATACTTTTTAACCATAAATGCTAGTCTTGCACTAGCTCGACTTCACGCATTACGTAGTCACATTGGAAAGGTCTCGCGTGACGTAGGCGGAAGCACCGATCCAGTGTTTACAAAGCGAACGTGCAAAGAAAGTCAAATGCGCTTTACAAAAAAAGGTCGATGTCGGATGATTTTGGAAGTTGTAGGAGAAAATTAGATGAGTTTTTCGCCCGACCCTACCTTTCTGAACCGGAGTACACAGACGAAGAGCTAACCGCACGTGAACTTTCCAACGGGATTATGTAATACGTGAATTTGCTGACGCGCATTTGTGGTTAAAAAGTGTTATATATATATATATATATATTTTTTTTTTTTAGAAAATGACCGATCATT